TATATATATAGGTGTTTTAAACCCTTCCCACACTCTTGCAATATTCTAAACAATGTTTCTAAACTCTAAACACTCTAAAAGACAGAATGTCATGATTTCAGCTCTGCCTCCTCTGCTCTCAGCCACCTGCGAGCGTTCTTGGCCACGCCCACTTCTCCGCTGCATGGTGATCAGCTGATCAGCTGCAGCAGGAAGTTTATCCTGCAGTGTGGGCTGCACAAACTGGGCTGCAGCAGGTTCTAAATAATTTAAAATAATGTATTTTAAATAAACAATCCAGGCTGATCGTGCGGCTCATCCATCTATCAGCCTGTGTGTCATGTTCACTCTTATTTTGAAAAGCCGCGATAGAGCGAGTCCGTGATAAACGAACCGTGAAGTAGCGAGGGACCACTGTATAATAAACTTATGTATCTTGGCAGGATGTAAAATAAATTGTCATTTCATGCCGGGTCTTTTTTTTTTGCTTATTTTTTTCCATCACGATGGCAGAAATGGGATCCACATGAAATAAGCAGTTTCTTGGGAATATGGTTATTTTTGTCATTTAAAACAATTTGTCATATACTGAACACATTTCTATTAACAGGTAGATGACTTTTAACCTTCCTGCTGCTCTTGGGTCAAAATGACCCACGAACCCTAGAGGGTCATTTTGACCCAAGAGCAGCAGGAGGGTTAAAAGAGTGAAACTAGTTTCAACTGAACAGTTTTTATGGAAACTTGGGACGATTTTCAAAATGGCAACAGTTTGGAAACCTGAGATTTCTTGAACATTGTGTATATTTTATTCCTATAAACCTTAAAGTCTTCTCTAAAGCTTTTTAAATCTGGGGTTTGGGGTTTGAGGCTCGCATGCACAAACCTTCAGAAATGTTTTTAGTGTGTTTGAACGTGTCTGAGATAAAATAATAACTCACCGTTCCAGCTTGGAAAATCAATTCCTCTCAGTTAATCCTCCTGATTCTTTACCTAATCCTAACTGTGATCTCTTCTCTCCTCCGTCTGTGTTCGTCTCCTCACTCATGTTTATTTCTCACCCATTCATTCATTCATTCATTTACTGGCTGCGCTGTACTGTACTGCAACTCAAACTGCTCTTTGCTGATTGATGTCAGGAGAAACAGCTGGAGACAGGAGATGTTTATTATCAAAGAGCTGTTGGACTGTTCTGTTTGGGTTTTTCCATCTTGTGGGAATTGCTTTGCAGTAAAATTGAAGGCTAAATGGACTGTGTATCATAAAAAGCTTTTTACTGCCTCGCCCTCCCTGAGAGTCAACAAGAGGGTGCTGAAAGGAAGAAACTGTTATTATTTATGAAAGGTTTTGTAAAGGTTGTTACGATCTGCTCCTCCTTGTGACAAAAAGAAAAAAAAACTATTCTGTATTTCCTGTTTATTATTATTTGTCCTCATGCAGGACGTAGGACACACTCTGGGAGGTACAGCCTTGTCAACAAGGGTCTCGTGTACAAAGGACAAGCATGGATTTTATTTTACTGCAACACGGCGTCCACTTAAACTGAGAAAACAACTTTGTGATCTGTGGTGAGAACAGGGAACAGGTGGAAGAGAACTTGGAGAGGTGGAGGTGGAGAAGAGGAATGAAAGTCAGCCGTAGTAAGACAGAGTCCGTGTGTGTGAATGAGAGGGAGGAGGTGGAACAGTGAGGCTACAAGGAGCAGAGGTCACAAAGGTGCAGGACTTCAAGGACTTGGGGTCCACTGTCCAGGAACATGAGGAGTGTGGTGAAGAGGTGAAGAAGAGAGTCCAGGCAGGATGAAGTGATGGAGAAAAGTTTCAGGAGTGATTTGTGACAAAAAGGGTGTCAGCAATGGTCAAAGGAAAAGTTTACAAAACAGTGGTGAGACCAGCTATGTTGTATGGTCTGGAGACAGAGACATGGACAAAAAGACAAGAGACAGAACTGGAAGCAGCAGAAATGAAGATGTTGAGGTTCTCCTTAGGAGAGACAAGGATGGAGAAGATCAGGAATGAGATCTTCAGAGGTACAGCACAGGTTGAACAACTGGGAGATAAAGTTAGAGAGGACACACTGAGATGGTTTGGACATGTCCAGAGGAGGGACAGTGGTTTGGACATGTCCAGAGGAGGGACAGTGGGTATATTGGTAGAAGGATGTTAGAAATGCAGCTGTCAGGAAAAAGACAAAGAGGAGACATCTGGATGCAGTTAGAGAGGACATGGAGGGAGTTGGAGTGAGGACAGGTGGAGGAGGACGACTCACTGAAGAGGGAACTACTGAAAAGAGAATCGAGATTTCAGAGTCAGAGATTCTTTATTGTCAGGAATTATGTTCACAGGGTCCCAGTCCCAACCTGAGCTTGAGTCTGTGTGAGCAGTTGAGCACGCATGAACACCTCAACATGAAACAGATCAGCAGCAACATGTAACAGATAAGCAGCAACATAACACAGATCAGCAGCAACATGTAACCGATCAGCAGCAACATGAAACAGATCAGCAGCAACATGAAACAGATCA